AAAATAAATGGAAGCATCATAGTAAGACGTAAACAATCTGACATCATAAAGCTGTCAATGTGAGATATTGGATTTGGCAGCTTTTGCCACATTCTTGGATATTCAAATGATTTCCAAAATACTATGAATTCTGTTTTTCCTTCTGGCGAAAGTGCTTCAATCGTTATCTTAAGAAACCTTAATACCTTGCCAGCTGTAACATGATAAATGTCTTGAGGTGATTGAAGGTGTCTTTCCCATTGTAACTGGTCTAATATTGTAGGTTGTAAACGTAATCCATATTGTGTAGCAAGTTCTTTACATTCTGTTATTGTTGATGCTATGAATATTTCTTTAAATTGTTCATTTGTTTGGTGATAATATCGAGAAACTAATGTCAAATCTAATTATTTGATGTCAATAAATCTTTAGTTGTATGACATGTACGACATCCTTTATTTGCATTATGTCATTTTACTCCAACTAAATCATTGCCTTGTGGTAAATCTGCAGTAATATCACCAAGACTTGCAATAATAAAACTATTGATTCCTTGAATATTCATAATTTTTCCCTTCTCTAATATTTTCATCTCTAAAATAAAAGGTTCAATAAATTCTTCAAAACAGCCACCAAATGGAACAAAACAAGCACAAAATGATTTTTGAATTTCTTTCTTTCTTTAAAAGGCATGTTTTCAATTTGAATATAAACACTACCTAGTGAATGATAAACATTACAAAATGTTCCAAAGTCATCATAATACACATCAATAATTCTGAAGGATGCTGATAAGAATATGCAATACTTCTTAACTTCCAATGATTTTGATGTTTATAAAGAATTTCTCGAATAATAATTGAAGAAGTTTCATTAATAGTATCTTTATCATAAAACATAACAACTGTGACATGTTTAATAATATTTTGTAATTCAATAGTTATAACTGCATTTTCTATCTCTTGATCTAATAACCGTAATTCAATATGTGATCCTCTTCTGCGATTATTACTTTGTAAATTATTAGGTAATTCATCAAAAACTTAAAATTCGTTGGATTATTATCTTGAGTTTATCATGTATTTCTACTATTGCTAAAATTCTACCAATCATTGTTATTATTTCTTTATAAACTATAAAATCTTCACATTTATTTTTTGCTAAAATAAATAATAATATTATTTTAATAATAAAATAAAATGTTTTAATAAATATTGTTTATATACAGTAAATATCTTTATAATAATTTTTTAATAATTATAAATGCACATCCAAATTGCAGTGATTCCTTCCATAAATTTCCATGCTAAAGTTCTAGATTTTTTTTGACTATTTGATCAGAACTAAAATACATTTGGTTAAATAGTGAAGGATTATTAAGAGAATGCCAAATGATATTTGTAATATATAAATAATATATATCCTTTGTTTTTTAAAAGTTGATGGGTTTTTTTACTTAAAATATATACTTAGCGTGATTTAATAGGAAGTAAGAGTAATCTTTATTGATACTTTTTTAATCTGCAAATATTTGTTACAATATTATTACTTTCAAATTGTGGATGAGTAATTATATCTTCCAATTCGTCATAAGCTTGAGTAGCTATTAAGAAAATATAAAAAATTTTAGTATTTTATTTATAACAATTTTTAATAATAAATCCTTACTTATATTATGCTTTTGAATCTAACAAAACATCAATACTTCAGTAATGTTTTCAAAATATGGAGCAAAATCCCATTAATAAATGGCATTTGATCATTATTTAAGCTTTCATAAACAACTTCATCAAAAATATTATTTGACACTTTTTCACTAGATTCTTCAATCAATATTTAATCATCAAAATCAAATAATTCTTCATTATAATTTAAAAAGTCTTCATTTGAGTCTTCATTATCAGTATCTATATCAATTGGCATTTTATAATCCATTTCATAATTATTTGCTTCTTTATCTTGTATTTCAGTTTCTTTATTGTTACAATCTGTTTAACGAATTTATTATTAAATATATCAATAGTTATTGTTATAATTCATTATATAATGTAATATATTTACTATAAATTTCAAATTCCTTTCATTATCGTTAATATTTAATAATTTATTACGTGGATATCTTATATAATTTTGTTGATAATTATAAGAGGCATAACGGTTGCGAAACATTTTTTAAGAAAGGTTGCAAATTGTTAGAAAAAAAAAAATTTTTTTAATAAATAAAAGGTTGCAAATCGTGAGAAAAAAATAAAGTTTATTTAAATACTTTATTTATACAGTTAAATTATAAAAATTAATAACCTTTTTTATATTATTAGTCTGGAACGAAGTGGAGGACTATATATGTTTACGCAAAGTATCCCGATGTCCACCCTCTCAAAAATTGAGTCGATGCTGATTGGCTTTTGCAATATTATTTAGTTAAGATCGTTCCGGACTTAATCACGGTCCCCGTTTCCTAGTTATATAAAATTTGACTTCAAATAATAATTGCTAACCAACTTAACAATTTATATTATAATGTTTATAAATTATATCAAGTGCTGAACTAATTTAGTAATCATTTATAAATAAATTTGTTTATAGTATTTTTAATATAAGCGAATAATTAAAAAATTTATTTGAATAATCTAATATTATAATTTATTTATATATTTGTATTTATTTTTATTTTTATTTTTTATTATCACAAGTTAAAATTTTCTGCGGTTGGCAATTATTAACCAGATTTAGTAATAATTAGTTTCGTATTTATTTTTTATTTTTTTATATAATAGGTTCTTTATTATCACATGTTAAAGTTTCCTGCGGTTGGCTATTATTAACCAAATTTAGTAATAATTAAACTAAAAGTTTAAAAGTATAATAACAATAACGATAATTATTTTAATTATTTTTTTTATTTTTTTTTATTTTTTTATTTTTTATTTTTATTAAAAAATAATAATGAGTATAAGTAATACAAAAAATAATACAAATAAAAAATTAACTACATATAATAATGAGAAACAAAAAGTAGTAGTTGCTCAAAAGGAAAAAGATATTCAAGACAAACTTAATGATTTTTAAATAACGATATTATTACTTACAGAATAAAAATACAGGTGCCAAGCGAGGTCGCAACAAGAAATAGTTGATTCTTCATTTCCTTTATCTTTAATCAGCAAAGTAAAATTAAAAGAAGTTATAAAAGGAGACAAAAAGTTGATCTTTTATCACCACAAACTATTGCTGAACTCTTAAAAGATGATGGTGTTAATTATAAATATAATAATACCGATTTTAATGATAGCAATGATAAAGAAATTTTACAACCAGGCTCTTTAGAAATAAAACGAAACTCAAGATTAATGTTAATCCTAGAGCCAGAAGCTAATTTTCAAGAATATATTCCTTTAAATACAACTGTTCAATCAAGGACGATGTCAACGGTTGATTCAAGAGCAAATAGTCCAATTGATGATTTTTTTTCTTCAATTAGACCGTCAATAGTTCTGGAATCAAGTAATGAACCTGATTCTTTAAATAAACTCTCAAGAACGGTATCATCACCTTCAAGACTGACAAGAT